CACTGCCGAATGGGACACTAATAAAAAATAATATTCAGCAGATCCTTGCTGCGCAGTGGAAATAATACAAATAAAAACGAAATCCGAATTACAACAAAAATTTATATTCCTTTATAAAAAATAAACAAACAAACTCAAAATCTTCGAAACAAAATATAAAAAAAAATCTCAATCAAAATAATCATACAAAAAAAGAATTAAAATATTTTCTTTTGCCAACCTGTTAACGATAGTTCATAATGAAGTAGACTCTACGACTGCCTTCAAGGTACTACACGTTATGGCGAAAGCAGCGCTAGTTTTTCAAACTATTTGTTTGGCAAATGAACTATTTACGTTTTTATATACATAATACACATCGAAATAACAAATTAATAAAATTTTCTTGACTGAACAATTTAAATAAATAAAAAATAAGATTTTTTCTAAATAAATTATTGTTTGTTTGAAAATTAATAAAGTTTACTTCATTGTTAATAATAATAATTTAACTTGAAAATTAAAACATAACAAAAAGATAAACAAAAAGTCAATTAAATCAAAATTGTCGTGATTTTCATGACAAGATGGCCACTCTCCAAAGAAAATGCCGTTTTCCCCGGAGCGAGGGTAGAGTTGATCAATCTCATTCTTGAAAGACGTTGCTGACTGCAGTGGTCCTGTTGACTGTGGTAGATCAGTTCATCGTCTGCTTGAGAAAAGGATGTCTTTTTTTTTTGTGAGTGCTTGACGGTTTACTTTCGTGGCATTTTTTTTTTTTTTTTAAACAGGTTAATTCAAAATGCATGATAGATTAATTGAGATACACATAATTTGTTTGTTTACATTTACTATTTACAATTTGCAGAATGCTGTGTGATCTGTTTATCAGTTCGGATTTATTTACCAAGTTTTGTTTACAAATAACTTATTCACGGTAGTCAGTTTTCGTTAGGCCCTTCTTCAAGTGTCGGATTTTTCTCGCATTCGGATATCCTTGAAAAGGTAATTATTAAACTATTTACGTTAATCTATATTCATTCTGACTACATTGTTGTATCGCCCTTAAATCTTTTTATTTGGGTCACATGAGCTCTCACTACTGCCTTTGTTTCCACATTTTCCAACACATACGAAACCTTGGACACAATGTTTTTAATTTTGAACGGACCATTAAAACGTGGCATTAATTTTGCTGTTATAGAATGTGCCTTGTCTGATAAATAATGAGATTTCAGCAATACTAAGTCGCCAATGTTGTAGTTCTCTCGTCTTCTGGCTCTGTCATAATTCCGTTTCATTCGTTCGTAAGGAAAAATAAATGATATATGAAAGGACCAAACCGGACACAGGAAAACTATACTTTATCAGAAATGTGAATACAATTGAACAAAATTGAAAAATGAATTGAATAAAAAATAATATTGCCTTTAATTTTATTTTATAAGTGAGCCAATTAAATTTAAAAATTTTTCAACAGTACAAACAAAATTGGGAGAAATATAAGAGAACTCTCTCACTCACTCTCTCTCTCTCCCTCTCTCTCTCTTTCTCTCAGGACTTGAGAGTATAACTATTTATCTAGGATCCCCCCAAAGATATACGGTCACTTCGACTATAACCTCTGATGGGACTTCTACAAAGTATACAATGGCGTAACGGCCACAATACATTTATTTTATTCTCTAAATGATCAGCCAAATTGGGCAGTTAATAAAATAAATAGTTTTATTGGGACTGAAACTAATAAGCATTTAATTGTTACTTTTCGTAATAAATATTTCAGATTGAGATCACTAAATGACGGCGATGTAAAACAAGTTTTTCTGCTACTACAATTGTTATAACGTATAAGAAACGTATTCTCATACATAAAAGCTAAAACATAAAATAAATGTGTCAAACACAACAATCCTCTAGACGTTTAATTAAATGAAATTGCGCATACCCTAGTTGTAAAACAATAAAATGAATGCACGTTCTCGAGTGAATATTTGCTTAATTCTACAAAATTGGTCCTCCTAGCTGAATATAGTGAACTTTTAAATTAATTAATTTGAATATAATTTTTTATAGTCCAAGCTGGTCAGTTTGACTGCTAAATTGAACTAAACGATCTGACATTTTATATCTGATACACCAAGGATGTCCCTTGGAGGATCTAGGTGATCATCACATACTTTGGGAAAAATCCCATTTATGTTGTTAGAGTGTAGATAATAGTTATTCGATCAGTCCCAATTATTTAACGGGTGCAATTCGTTGGGTCCATATATAGAGCGTGTAGTAGCATCAGGTGTCTGGGACCCCTGTTCCAAATTTTAGAGGGAACAGGGCTGTTTTATTGAATATAATACTTTATAATTATCTCGTCATATTTCACTTTTGTTTTAATTCTTCCTCTCACGACAGTTTTCCATAATACCCCAGTATGTCATACAATATTAATTGTGCTTTTCAGTTAATTAAGATTTTTAGTTGAGATAAAAAAGTCAGTGTAACGAGCAGGATTCGAACCCACGATCTTCGGCTAGATAGCCGCTGCTCTACGACTTGAGCTGACAAGCGTTCGTGACACAGACTTTTTTTATCTCAACTACAAACCTTAATTATTTGAAAGATACTAACTGGTCAAGCGGACCACGAAAACTAGTGAATTTAATAAGTTCAAATGAAGTATACATTCACTAAAGCTCTCCGTGGCCATTTCACTTGTCGCCGAGAATCAAATAGTTTACACGACATTTGAAAAAAGGAGGGAAAATTCAAAAAGGTGGGGTTGAGATGGAAAGTTAGTGTCCGACTGGATCGAGCTGGAGAGAGCTCAAGTGGTAGAGCAGCGGCTATCGCCGAAGATCGTGGGTTCGAATCCCGCTCGTGACAAAACAATTTAATTAATTGTTTAGATTTAACTTCATAAAAGCAGTGTGCTGTTTAAGTTATTATTTTTACCGCTACTAACAATCAGAAATATAGAACAAGAGCAGTGTTTATAATTTTAAGCTACGCACTGGTTCTTTGAAGTTCAGTTTAAAAGAAAGAAGGTAGAGCGATATGACGCCCCCGGTACCTGATTATAGGTAGGCATCGGCGTACACAACTGAGTAGCAATATAACGTTCACCATTTTGAAAAAGAAGTCAATGGCACGAGTGAGATTCGAACCACGATCTTCGGCTAGATACGCCGCTGCTCTACCACTTGAACTATCGTGACCTCGATCCACTCGGACACAAACTTCCTATCTTATCTTTCTCTCCTTTTTGCCATTTTCCATCTTTTTTTATATCTACTAAAAACCTTAATCAATTGAAATATATTAATTGGTCAAGTGGACCACGACAACTAGTGAATGTAATAAGTTAAAATGAAGTATATCTTCAATACAACTCTCTGTGGCAATTTCCTTTGTCGCCGAGAATTAAATAGATTACACGGCATTAGAAAAATGGCAAAAAAGAGTGAAAATTCAAAAAAGTGGGGTTGAGATGGGAAGTTTGCGTCTGAATGGGTCGAGGTCACGATAGCTCAAGTGTTTGAGTAGCGGTGTATCAAGCTGAAGGTCGTGGGTTCGAATCCCGCTCGTGACACTGACTTTTTTATCTCAACTAAAAACCTTAATTAATTGACAGAAATTAATTGGTCAAGCGGACCACGAAAACTAGTGAAATTATTACAAAAGTACCATTATTTCAAATCGTATTTCAACGACTGATCGGTCGATATTTTTCATCATCATAACAGAGGCAGGACACACTCAGGAAAAGAGATAACATTATTACCCATTCAGTAATCTAAAACTGACCATCCATCTTTAATTTTCATCACGTTAGGACTTCGTTTAATGCCGCCCTCCGCTGTGAGGACAGGTTTGGGAAGTACACCTCAAGTCTTGAGCGTGGGCAATTGATTCAACTGCACCCAAGCTAAGCATCACCTAAAAAACCGAGTGATCCCGATATTTATAAAATTAACGCAATTTTTCCTTTGTTCAACATGCAAACAGGATCCAGGTCTATTGATTATTTATGTCCCCCATGGAGCAAGAACAACTATTAGAGGAAACTTACTCAAAAGTTTAGGAATGTGTACTTGTATTATAAGTTTTAGGCGCATTATCTTTTGGAGAGGGCTCCAAAAGAATAGCCATCAAAGAAACATGCACATCCAGTAAAACTATTGCCTGTTCAGATGGAACTAAGAAGCTATGCACCACTAAATATTACGGGAATGAGCAAGGGGACCTTGACTATTTGAGTAGTTATCAATAAACGAGAGCGTAAACATTAAAATGTTATTGGGTAGCATATGTTCACTTGTTCTGGAACAAGAAGGGTCACTTGTATTTAAATCAGTAGTAAGTGTTAGATGTATCGACTGCTTTTATACTCAAATACTCTGATCGCGGTATGATCTTGTTAAAAACTGAATTCAGTTGACATTGCCAAGCATTCGAACTATTTTAACGTCATCATCAGGGCAAAACCTAAATCTGTCTATCCATTGACATAATTAAGTTTTTCACAACGATTTCAAATTTCTCTATGTCTGACTTAGTCCCAATGTTCGAAAAAACTGCAGTGTCTGTTAAAAATGTAATCATGTCAATTTGTAACCATAATCTGTAACATTGTTTTGCTCTGATAATAGTCTTAAAATTGCTGGAAAGCTGGGCAGTAGCAATTTAATTTAGTCTTATGTCAAGACCATACCTTGATCCAGATTTTGTGTAATTAAACCCATCGTTTCGTTATATCGCAGAACAGAACAGTCTGAAACAAATTTGTTTTAAACCTTTTGATTCAAACTATTGTACATTCTTTGGTTTCGTTTTACGTATTTCATTCATTATCAAGAGAAGATATAATCACATCTATTCATCTTTTTAAAAAAGTTGTATATTTTGTGTTTTCAAATTATAACGCAAGATTAATGACAACGTTATTTTAGTATATTATTTTTTATTAAACTTTTCGTTATAAATGTTATTTATATGTATAATTATCGTTTAATTATACTTACAATAGGAAGTCTTGATTCCATGATGGATTTGGGCCTTTAACTGTTACCGTTGTTGACTTCACATTCTGTAGTTTCAGCGTGACGTATGTGTTAAATTGGATTCCTGAAAAATAATATTTAAAAAAATTAAAAAAGAATTGTTTTACAAGTAAAAGTAACTTGTTGCTTTTAATCAATCAAAATAAAGTGAAATTTAATTTTAAAAATTATAAAACTTAGAAATGGATTTATGTTTTATATAAATACGTTATATTTTTATTCAAATCTAATCATTCTTAATTTAATTATCGTTCTATATTGATCTATGATTGGGCTTTTAATCAATCAAAATAAATAAAGTATCACATTGATTACTTGTGTTTATAAAATCTTTATGAATGTTCTCCTTATAAAATGATATTTTTTTTTACTTTTTAACCATACACTCCTCGCCAGGAAAATCACCATCCTGAGATGTTAAGATAATATTTTGTTTTATAGCTTTTTTTAACCAAAAATAAACCCTTTTTTTCGAGTTCGGTTACATATATATAAATATTATCTCTTATCTCTTACGCCGCTAATATTATTTATATTATTATTATTATTATCATAAAAGACTATTAGAGAAAAAGGAAGAGGTAAAAGAAGACGAGAAACCGTCTGAATACGAGAAGCCCAGTGAAGGCGGTGCCAACGGCGAAGTCATGGAATAGGAGGCAACTAAGAAAGAAGGAAAGGAAGAGAACGAGAAGGAAAAGGACGAAGTAGAAGAAGAAAAAGCTTATCAAAACGACGGCGTCAAAGATCAACCGACAGAAGTGAAAAAAGTCAACTCAACAACCAAGGAGGAGAATGAAAAAGAGGAAACAACACAGTAGAAGGGGAAGGTCGAGAGTGAGAGAAAGGAGAGAAAAAATATTAAAAAGAAAAGAAGATACGTCGTTTTTATCATCCACATTTTATTATCCGACAGTGAAAGTGGTGAATCAATTTGTGGAAAACTCTGGTTTTTCTTTCTTTTTTTTCTTTTTTATAATTTTATTCACATGTATATACGTACTTACAAATTAAAAGACAAAATATAAACCGGCTAGCCTGATGAAATATTAAGCATGGATTTTATAATAATTTATAATTTTAAAAAAAATTAAACCGTTGATGAATTTTATGCTGTAAATTCACTAATTTCATGGTCCGCATGACCAATTAATATATTACAATTAATTAAGGTTTGTAGTTGAGATAAAAAAGTCAATAGCACGAACGGGATTCGAACCCACGATCTGCGGCTAGATACGCCGCTGCTCTACCACTTGAGCTATCTTGACCTCGATCCCCCCGGTCACTAATTTCCCATCTCACTTGTCGCCGAGAATCAAATAGATTACAGATTTGAAAATTGGCAAAATTCGAAAGGTGCGTTGAGATGGGAAGTTAGTGCCCGAGGAGATAGAAGTCACGATAGGTAAAGTGGTAGAGTAGCGGCGTATCAAGCCGAATGTCGTGGGTTCGAATCCCGCTCGGGACACTGACTTTTTTATCTTAACTTAAGACCTTAATTACTTGTGTTGTTATGTTTTGTGAAAAATATTTTGTGGTAGAAACGACACTTTTTTCTCTCACCATTATAGTTTTCATCAGTAATATATCCGTCGAACTGACATTATTTACTAAAGAATAATTTTAGAAAATCTAGTTTAATACATAACAAAAGAAATAACTTATTCAATTTACTAGTTTCGTAGTCCGCTTGACCAATTAATATATTACAATTAATTGGTCAAGCGGACTACGAAATTAGTGAATTGAATAAGTTTAAAATGAAGTCTCCCTTCACTAAAGCTCTCCGTGGCCATTTCATTTGTCGCCGAGAATCAAATTGATTACACGACATTTGAAAAATGAACCCCGCTCCTGCCATTGTCTTTTTATACTGTAACATGAAACCTGTAAATGTTTAAAATTTCTCTTGACCTCAGACCTATTTTAAGAATAAATAACCTTACATGTAAACTTATGTAGCATCATTGTTATATAATATTATTTTATTTATTTATTTATTAAAAAAGTGTCGGTCTAGCAAAATAAACTCTTGTCCTACCGACTGCGCCAGTTACTTGTGTTGACTAATTAAAAGTCTTTTTTTTAAACTTTATTAGTTATAAACACAACTTATAGTTTGAAATGGAACCTTTCCAGTTCAAGGATAAGATTAATCTAATTTTGTCTTTACAAGTGTAATGGGAATAGTGAACAGGGAAGGGTTTTTTGCTTACAACACGTTCCCCGAATCTGTACAGTGGCAACCTCATCTGTCGCTGAATTAACGGTTTTGTGCAGGTATTAATTAATAAACGAAATAACAAGGTCGTAAAATCAACTCAAATCAAAAAACCGGAGAGTCCCGTTGTAAGAAGTAAAATTATTAAAACAACGGCGCTAAGTGCCGGCTAAACCCGCACAGTCTGGCGGTCTTGAATTGTGTCTCATTCAGCGCCGTATTTTTATTTTTTATTTAGTAGGTACTAATTTACTTTATGTGCAAAACAAGGTAAGAAAATAATAAACAGGATAGTATTAAATGAGATTAGATGTGTGTGAAGTTATAAAAACAAAAAATCACTCAGTAAGGTAGACATTTTTTTAAACGAAATCAACCTCAACTTCAACATTAATCATATTTTAAAGTTCATAAACACAAACGTTTATAGCTCTTACTAAACATGATTTGTAATTTGTCAGTTCATCTCACAAATTAGTAATTGATTAAATTTTACTGAACATTAATTGTGATTGGTCATCATATATTGGAGAAAAAAATTATAGACAATAATATTAGCGGCGCAAGAGTGAAAAAAAGAACTGTGCAGGTGAGGACGGAGGAACGACTTTTCTAGTAAGAGTAAGCCGGTTTTCATAAAATTGCGAGGAACCTAAGTAACAGAGCGAGCAGACATTTCTAATCTGAATATCAGTACTAATCCATCTCTCTTCACTGTCTTGTTGGCGGTTTTCATCTTGTAAAAATGAGTGCATGTGATGGGGATGGGACCAATGATACCGACCAGTTTGATACCGAGCATTGAAGTTGACAAGTTGACATTCGTGGGGACGGTTCTCGACGACGTCGACGCCTCAGAGGTAAGTTTGCAAACATTTCCAAAGAACAAAAACATTTATTTGTAAGTCTGGTTGAAAAGGGACATTCTGTCAGAGATGGTATTTCGACAAATTTCATTCTGGTCAAAAAAAACTCAAAAAACTAGATGTGGGCCAACCCCCTTTGGGATAGGTGGACTCCTTTTTTCTGAGAGGTCTTTTGTAGTGAGATTTGGTGAAGGCTTAACGAAACCTGTCCACGTACGATCTGGTGTACCGCCGGGCTCTCATTCTGGTCCGATCTTTTTTTTTTTTTTTTTTTTTTTTTTTTTTTTTTTTTTTTTTTTTTTTTTAAATGACCTCGCCTTTGCTCTCATTAATTCTTCATTTTCATTGTTAGCAGACGATTTGAAAATTTATCGCCTTGTCGAATCGTTGAATGATTGTATTCTCTTACCAAATGACTTGAGTCGCTTTTGGCTTTGGTGTACGCGTAATAATTTGAAATTAAACGAAAATAAATGTAAGATTTTGATGTTCATCTAGGAAAAAATAATACGATTACGACCGATTCGTTTAGAGTATCGAAAGTTATCACATTGACGAGGTAGATACTATCTCAGATCTCGGGGTTATTTTTAATAAGAATTGTGATTTTCGGGACCATATCCATGCCATTATAAATAAATCGTTTAAAAATTTAGGATTCGCACTCAGGCAAACTGCTGACTTTAAGAACCCTTTTGCAATAAAATTACTCTATCAATCTCTGGTGCGCAGTCACCTAGAGTATGCCAGTGTTGTTTGGTCGCCGAGTTTTTAGATGGGTCTTACATGACAGAAAGGGTAAAGCCACAAAATACCTGTGTTACAAATTATGCAATCATAGGAACTACCACCATTGCTCCTATGAAGCCAGACTTCCTTTAGTAGGCCTGGATTCTCTGGAGGATAGAAGAGTTTTGGTTTCCTAAATAAGATCCTACACAATTTTATTGACTCCCCGGAGATATCATCTTGTTGCTTTAGGGTTCCCAGCATCAACTACAGACCCATGAATTGTTGGGTACTTCACGGCACAGGACCAAATACGGGTTACAGTCTTCAATCTCCACAGCTTTGCATTACTTAAATTCGCTATCAGTGCGGACCCCTTCTCCTCGTCTCTTCAGATCATTTAAAAAAAATATTAAACGTGCTTTAAAATGTAATTGAGGGTTTATTTATTACTTTTGTTGTGCTATTTATTAATCTATTTATAATATTAATTTTTTGTTAAAAGTGTAAGCGCTTATTTTTATATCCTTTTTTGGTAGTTTATATTGTAATGATTGTTTTGTTGTGTTGCTTGACTGTCCTATGCTTGGGTACCTGACCTGTTTGGACTGTAAATAAATAAAAATATAAATTTGAACCTTAATTCTCCAAACATGTTTGCCGCAAATACAAATTAAATAACTGTACAGTGATCACAAAAAAATGACGAAAGGCAACGCGCAATCCCTTAACCGACGATGTTCTGGCCGCGAGTGAGCGTGTGGTTAACATCAATATTAGGATGGTCACTTTTCATAGAGGACTGATCCGGTTTATGATTTCTTTAAAAGTAGCGTCTGTGGATGTAAACCGGATTTACTCTCTGGTCACCATCGACAAAAGCGAACGATTTGCTTTGGAGTTCTACCAATGAACTCCTGAGAACCGCTCAAAGTCGGACTAAACCATGATTCACTTCCACCTGAGAAGAAGCTAGGGAAGATCTAAGGCTAACACACGAGAAATCATTACTGTACCTAACATGCGTGGTAGAAACACAGCTCCTGTACTTGCTATTAATAACCAGCAAGTTGTTCGTTCTTCCGCTGGAAGTAGCAAATGCGGTCGGTTTCGCACGTTTTTGTCTGTGCATACTTGACCAAATGTCTCTTTAAGTTTTATTTCTCATTGATAACGCTGCATACACAATACAGCTGATCTTTGAGCTGTAGTTGGAACTGCATCACAATCAATCTTCCACCGCAC